GGCCTACACGAGATGAGGCAGGATAAAGAGGGATAATCCCCCTCGATCCCAAATCATTGAGGCCAATTTCTAGCCATAGAATAATGGCGCGCTCATTTAGCATTGAAGGCTACCTTTAGTAGGTATATGCTCGATGGTCTATGGTTACCCTCATACGATTTCGAACGATGGTAGCCGAATAAAATTTTAAATAAATGAGACTGGATCAAACTGAAAGGTTAGAAAATTGACAAGTTTTTGTTTATCTGTTATAAAATAAAAAATACGAAATGAGTGAATTTAAATTGCAGCACCTTGTAGCTGAATTACTAAGTAAATTAGGGTAAGAATCAAATTGTTTTTAATTTTGAAATTTTGATTTCATAAATTTTAGTGGAAAAATAACACCAGACCGCTTAATAGAATATTTACAGAAGAGTTTAAATATTAATGCAGATAGCGGATGCTCAGGAACACAAGTTGCAATTCAAACACATTTAACACGTTTGGTACAGGATTTGCCTAATTCAGAATCTTTTTTGTCTAAATATAACGATCTCAAAGACAAAAAGTAAGTCTAGATTTTAATTTTATTTGATTAATATAGATAAAATAATTTTATCATGATTTTAGTGTCTATTGCTTGAATTCATATGTACAGTTACTTGATAATATATCTCAAGATCCTGGAGTTAAAGATTTTTTACTGAAAAGTACGAAGCAACCTTCCTCTACTTTGAATACTGAACTTACCAAGGACAATTTACCTCATGTAAGTTAAAATTATTAAAAAATTAAATTTATTTATGATCACTTCTTCATTTTCAGTTAAAAAATCGCCTAAAAAAAGCAGTAACGTCAAAATCTAGGAAGGATGAATCATTCGACAGTATTCTAAACATATCGTCTACAGTCCCTTTGGCTACAACTCCGTCAGTAATTTCATGGGTTCAAAGACGACCTAGTATGTCATGGGATTTTTCTACACATGTATTACCACACTCCACCCCAACAGTGCCTGCAGTTTCTCAAGAAAACATACTCATTGAAGACTTATTAAATGTTTTAATAGGTTTGCCAGGGTGCTACATAGAACCTGAAGATCTCCGGGATGCTTACGGTCCAAGAAGTTTTAAAATCAACGATAACATATCCCTATCTCTCCGAGAACTGGTAAAGCAGATATTGCCGCTAGCTAGTCATTATTCTGTTATACAGAGGTTCATTGAAGAGAAAATAAGATTTGAATTTGGACAGGTCAATAATGCTTTGGCAGAAGCAATGAGAAGTATAAATAAAGACCATATGGTATTTATAATCCCCTGCTATCAAATACTCTTTAATATGATTTCTTTTTAGCTTTTTATAATACAGTTAGAGAGTGAGTTTAGAGCCAACAATTTAACGTTACAAAAATTGTGGTTTTTTGTGCAGCGAAATATGCAAAGTTTGGGTATCACTGCTAATATCGCATGTTCGATAAGTAAAGTAAGTATTAACAGAATAAATACTTTTAATATTTGATGATTTCCTTTTATTACAAAACTGTAGTTAAAAAATACATATTCCACAATTAATTTGTTCAACGTATTGCTTCAGAATTCCTTTTTCTTTAACCAACTTCACTTCTATTTATTAATAAACATTTTCTGTAATTAAGAATATATTTTAGCTATATATTTGTAATCCTTTATTATTTTATGAATAGTTATTTTTCTAACAAAATATTTTAGCAAATGACAAACCAATATTTTATTGAAATTTGATCACTGTCTTAAAAATGATTTCTAGTCGGGCGTAAAAGGTGGTAAGGTGCTGAGTTTACTTCACGAAAATGTTATTGGTTCCATTGGTGACGAGAGGGCCCAACAACTTTGTCTTAAACTTATGGAAGCAGCTTGTGAACCGTACATGAAGATGCTGGGTATGTGGATATACAAAGGCATCATATCTGATCCTATTAATGAGGTAAACCTTCATTTAAACTTGAAAGTTTTATAATATATGAACTTCTTAATCTAAATATATCACATTTAGTTTCTTGTGGAAGATAACGAGGTTTTTCAAAAAGAAGATATGCCAGTCGATTACTCTGCTGATTACTGGGACAAAAAGTATGCCGTGCGTAGGGAGAGGATTCCTAAATTTCTTGAACCCGTTTCTGATATGATATTAAAAGCTGGGAAGTACCTAAATGTTATAAGACAGTGTGGTAAGTACTATATCTTAATATCTTTTGTCACTACAGTAAAGCTTGACCAGTGGGAAAATGATTAAAAGTTTTATTAATTTTTAACAAAAATACAAACATAGATATGTTTAACAAAAGCAGCAATAGAATAACAGTATATATGGATTTTGTTCTGAAAACTTAAAAACAATACCAAAAATGCACTTTTTATTTGCACCACAAAATAGGTATGTATGTATAATAAAATATCTAAAACTACTACTTTCCAAAAAAGTCTGTTATATGAGTTTGTTTTTTGCGATTTATAAGGATCTGCTGCTCTAAATACATTTCTGTTTCCAGCGATGCGCTTAAAATACGATCTTCAGTATTAATTTTACTTTCTAAAAATCGTTTACATTTTTTATTCCTCTAATTGCGTCATCAAATGTTGCGGGCGTTTCTTCTTCCGGTTCTTCTTCATCTTCTTCTCCACTATCAACCTGCTCATCTTCGTTAATCTGGTCAACAATATTCCGCTCTGAAGGCAAATTTGTTGTAACAAGCTCTTTATCCATGTCAACGAAAGCATCAATCACAGTTGGATTCAATTTTTTTAATAATAATAATAATAATAATAATAATAATACATTTATTGCAAAAAAGAAGTATAAACAATTTTTTTTAAGTTAAAATTATTTTTATTTAACCACACACTTAAAGATAAGTTATCGTCATCCTCTTCATTAGCAACTTGTTTAATAAGCCATTGGTTAAGAGGTAGGTCATCGTCCTCGTCGAACTTGCAAAGGGTCATGCACGTTTGAAACAATTCTCAATTGTTTTTTGGGCAACCTGTTACCACTCTTTCGCAACCATTTCAATAGCATCAAGCAAATTTATTGTTATTGGTGTGCTATTTTCGGTGCACTTATGATTACTGGTCATAAGCAGTCGTCGATAATGAACTATCAAATTGTGGATATCACCTTGAACCATTGGTTGTAGGACAGATGTAAAATTTGGTGGAAAAAATGCCAGTTCAATATTGGCTTTCTTTTACCAATTGTTTCTTCGAAGATCTTACGTCACTTTCAAAAATATTTGAGGTCATCCATGCACTCTTGTTTGCCCTATAATTAACCGGCAATTTTTTTACATTTTTAAAACATCTGGGCGTATTAAATTTACCAATAACTAAGAGTTTACGTTTTTCTGTCCCGGTCATATTTGTGTAGTATACAAGAACCGTTATTCTTTCCATAGAAAGTTTTCCTCCAACATATTTTTGACCTTTAAAGCTCATTGTACGATCTGGAGCAGGTTTATAAAAAAGACCAAGAATGGGCCCACTTATTGTAGTATTCAACCTTCTTTGATATGTAAACCACTGAAGTAATGCCTCCATGTTTTTGTAGACGGGTTTGCGAATTCTTTTACTTTGTTTAGAAATTCCGCGGGAATTCCGTGTTTGTTCTTCAATATCGTGGACACTGTTGTTTTTTTCATACATCTAAATTTGCAGATGTCAACTTGTTTAACACCTCTTTCTATTTCCTGAATTAATTCCTTAATTTTTTCATCTACTGTTAAAGCCTTCCGAGCCATTTTAATAGGACCGGCTTGGGTTGAATCAACCATACTTAACAGTATTCAAATATGCGCATATGCTTAGATACGCACTGTACGATGTCAACAAGGAAACTGAATAAAAAATGGTTAAAATAACTAGACAACTGCATTGTGTGTTGGGAGAAAAAAGTCTTAAATAGGTACATAAACAATACCGGGTAGCTAATCGACGAAAACTTATATATTGGCCTGGTCAAAGCGGCCACCTTTGATTTAGATATCACCCACATGCCCTGAGTTTGCTATACTTGCCGAAATAAATTTATGTATAAAAAGTATGTTATACTGAAATTTTATTTAGAGGCTGGGACCAGGTATTTTGGTACTTTATATCAGAAGTACGTAACAACAGAGTACGTTTTAACAAAATAATTAACCATTGAAGGCCCTATAATAATGCCGGGACTTGTTTGTTCAGTACGTTATAACCATAGGTACGTAATAAGCGTGTACGTTGTAATAATAATTACAGTTAATAAGTTAACATTTTATGTAGCTATATTAAAAGGATTATTTTTAATAAAAATATGGAATAGCTATTTCAATCTCCAGTTTTTATAGAAACCTCTCTGCATCTTTTTGTTACTATGACACTGACTTCTGGATTCAATCCTGTAATTTTTTATTTTACAAATTTCAATTAAAAGTTACGAAAGTTCTGTATATGAGCATAGAAATCATCCCCAAAAAAATGATATGGGCCCCAGTATTATAAGACTATTTTAATTTGTTCCAACCAAAGCTGATAGTTTCGAAATTTTAAACCTACAAAATATCTAAGATTTATCATAAATTTTATAAAATTCAAGGTAAACCTGTGAAGAATAAGGTGCTTCCAATACAGTACAAAATAGAAGAGAAACAGTACATTGAAGCTATTGAAAAAGCCTACGTGTTTGCTAGCCAAACACTGTTAGATTTAGTACTAAAAGAAAAAGACCTCATAGGAAGATTGAAGTCCGTTAAACATTATTTCCTGCTAGACCAAGGCGATTTCATCGTAACCTTCCTTACGCTTTGCGAGAAGGAACTTGGCAAGTACGTTGTGGATGTCAATCAAGGCTGTATAGAGTCCTTGATGGACCTAGCTTTAAGGTTGTCTAGTGCCATAAGCGACCCCTATAAAGATGATTTGCGGACTGAGCTGTTGCAGTATGACTTGCAATTTCAAATGTTCAAGATATTAAGTATTCAAACAAATTCAGAACAAGGTAATTTCCTTTAATTTGCTTTTGTATTTGTTCAAATGGCTTTGCTTTTAGAGTACTGGTCTTCGATTGAACCGAAAAAGTTGCTGATGATTGAATCCTTCTCATTTGGCTATGAGGTACATTGGCCGCTGTCACTAATTCTTAACCGGAAGTCACTGGCTTGCTACCAGATGATTTTCCGACATCTATTTTACTGTAAATATATCGAGCGGATGATTTGTCAAGTGTGGAAATCCAACAAGGTCGCCAAGAAATTCCACTTTTATGATGCACAGCATTATAGATCTGCCTTTGCCTTGCGGCAAAGAATGCTGCACTGTGTCCAAAATTTGGAGTATCACATGATGGTGGAAGTGATTGAGCCACACTGGTGTATGTTCTTACAAAAAATATCAAAGGTATGTTTAATTTTATGTATAAAAAATAATGTAATGGAAAATTACATTTCATATTTTATATCATTTTATCCCATATTTAAATCTATTATGTTCTTTCCAGGTAAACAACGTTGACGAAATACTCTCTTGTCACTGTGACTTCTTGGATAGCTGTTTGAAAGACTGTATGTTGACTATCCCTCCTATTCTCAGTACTATAATTAAACTTCTTGCCATTTGTGAGGAATTCTGCAAATTTATGCAGGTGAGTTTGTGATAAAATTACGGTTAAACCATAAAAACACATTTTTTGCACAGAGGCGCCAATTTTAAGTGAGAAACACTGCTCGCAGCGGCCTGTTTTTATTTTGTTGTGTAATTTTTTTTGTATACTAATAATTATATTATAGAGCATGAATTTACCTAAAAATGATTATTTAATTCCTCAAAAAGGATTTTTTGAGTTCTGTATATTTTGATTAAAAATAACTTTTTCACACTGAGGATCTGCTCATTCTCTTTTCATAACTGAAATAAATTTTATAGAAAATATAAACATTAATTTAACTAAATAAGTTTTAATTCCTGACTGGCCATTTCTAAGGGATTTAATTAAATGCACTTTAAATTCTTTTGATAAACCCTCTTATATTTCCAATTACAGTTTCTTTGTGTTATTGAAGTAATTTTAAATGTATACGCAGGGTGTTTATTTATTTTCTTACATATTACAATGAAAAACTTTTCAAGAGGAATTGTGATTAAAAATACATGTTTAAAACTCTCTATTGGAAATAATAAAGCTTATTAACATTTCTCCAAAAACATGAATTTTTTATATTTGTTATAACTACTGACATATAGGGGTTAATATAAGTCCCTCAAATTGAAGAACACCATGTCTATAGGAAATCAGCGAAGTTAGTCAGGATCTGTTTAAATTCAGTATTTAGGTAATTTTTATTAAGGATAATGCAAAAATAACAAATTCATAATAATTATTCAAAACGGCTTGTGGTAGGTTGTTCTTTAGTTAAATACATAACCTCATCCTTAATGACCACTATCCGTACAGTTCGTGGATGTCAACTTCCTGCATTTGATTTAAAGTTGCCTTTTTCTCTTTACCGACGATGGATTGACGAAAATGTTGTACGGCAAGAATGTCGTCGATTTGGAAAGCGCTCAGCTTCTCTAGCGTTGCATCTTGCTTCGTCATAAATCAAATGTATGTCTGCATACTCTTCAAATGTAAATTGGTCCATTTCAACAACTTCGAACCAAAATTTCGTCTTAAACAAAACAAATGTGAACACTCAATTACAGTGACAGCTCTGTTCATTTGTTTCACAATTCCTCACAGCGTGACGCAGATGACATTGCAAGGCTAGATTAGATGCGTGCAATAGAGCTTTTATCACACAGTTGTGGATAAAATCAATTTTTACCAACGTCGACTGTAGGACATGCGCTTATCAGAAGAGATAAAAGTATTTATTTTGTTTCAAATAATTTTTTGCGTTACCCTTAATAAAAATTACTTAAAATGAAAGTATTTTGGTGTCAATTAAATAACATTACATTTTTGGACAAAAATTGGCTTATTTCCGACTAGGGGTTTATATACAAAATTTCCTTCCACAATGTCCTCTATAATCCCCTCAAGTTTGGCAACATCTTTTTGAAACACCCTGTATATTTAATAAAAAAATTCTAATAATAAAGTCTTAACGTCAGTCAAGTCAAAAATAAATAATTTTCATTAAAAAACTTATGTTCTACTCTAAAGAGTACTATTTTCAAAAAATATTAATTCAAAATATTAAAGCATTAAATCCGCTCTGTTACTATGTTATTGTACGTAGATCAGCTTTTTGCAATAGTGTGATTTTCGGTTCAAACCAGTGTTGTCAGTTGTAAGCATTCTAAACTGCTGTAAATGGCATATCAAAATTTTATGTTTCTTATTACATATGTACTTATTCCTGCAATATCCGTGATAACGGAGAGTTTTTTATATTATAAAATTGTTGATTTAGCGTGATTTCTTCAAACCTCAGTTATTGAACAATTAAATCACTGACAGTGTTTTAAGTAAGTAATGATGGTTATGATATTGTTATCTGTTTTTTTTTTCTCATAAACGTTTCCAGCGGACGCAGCGTTACTTTGTGGAAGCCGAATTAGGTTCTTTACCGAACTCATTTTATGAGTCATTCGCACAGGTATTACAGGCTTTGCTTTCATGCTTAGGCTTGATGTTTAAACCATTTTTAAGCATGATATATGTTTTTGTTGTATGAGTCACGTTTATATTTTGTCACACTCTTTAGGTTGCTAACGACACATATTAGTGCACCATGAAGTCCAATTTTATATAATTAATAAACTAAATTATCTTATAACTGATTGATCCACAAAAGCGATCGTAAATGCACTGTTCAAAAACTAATTATCATGGTTTTTAAAGAGTAATTTATAATTTTGTAATAATAATTAAATAGAATACACTATGAATTAGTGGTATATTATAAAGTATTTACATGCAGTCGCATATAAAACTTTTTAGCTAATTATACAAGACGAGGCGGGGAAGGAGTGGCGAGGGGGGGAATGGTGTCAAGAAGTTCAGTAATTGTTAAATAATTCTGAAGAAATAATAATCTATTACCGCCTTTGTAGGTTTCGAATATATTTTTTTAAATAATCTGTCATGTATCTCCAAAACTTATGATTTCAGTACAAATTTTAAAGTAATTGTATCATCTCATTTTTTCTATTAGTCTGCATCCCTTTTTATAGTCTTTCCGAAGTCAGTTGAACATGTATAAAAATGCCTAGCAATAAAATTTAATGAGTTTCATAGGCGTCCCTAAAAAAGTTTCTCTTTCGCAGTTGTCTTATGTATGATTAATAGAAGGTGCCTATAATAAATTAAAATTACCTGAATCACACCAAATTCTGCATTGCAGCACTGCACTGCTAGGCAATTTGTCAGCCACTTGCCAACAGCTGAGATTTATTGCCCAGTCGCCCAGTTCGGCTGACTGTGTACGCTGTTTGCCTGCCCGTGCATTTTTCAACTGGGCGTATACATTTCTACCACCTCCACGTTAAATTTGACCAGACCAGTATATGGGTATGGCTAAATAAATATGGGAACAAGTTTTTCAAATATTTCAATGCCGAGTTGCTGCATCAGCGAATGAACCTGGTACATACTGCCAACGTCTTGGTCTTGGTTCTTCAACAGAGATCGGAAAGACTATATCATTATTGACACCAAACCGCTTTTAATAAATTTTATTCAGTCAATTATATAATTTTTCATCTTAATCAGAAAAACGAATCCAATAAAACTTTTTTCATAAAGCCTACATTAAATTTACATATCCACATGTTAACACCATCTTAGCATGAGTCGTAGCAATCCTGCTAAAATTACAATTGTTTATTTTGATCCAGATGTGTAAAAATAAAACCTTAATATTTTAGAGCGAACTGCCTTTTCAAGGAAACAGTGTTAATCTTACCGATCCGGCTCCCAGTTTCAAGGAGACTATATCTCTGTGTGACGTCAAATTTTCGGCAACCTTAATGAAGCTTTTGGATCAAATTAACGATTTGAACAGAGACACCAGTGAACATGATAGACTGTTTAATCTGCTGTACAGGTAAGTGTCTATCATTACGCTCTAAAAAAAATTGATAAGAGTGGTAAGACTAAATATTTGTGATATCCAGATTTACAGGATCTACTGTGATTTTAGTATATACAGTTTGTCATGAAAAATCCTGTATAATTACTTTTCTACACCGATTCCTAATATTATTTGTGAATTTTTTTATTTATGAAACATTAGTTTAACACACACATCCGCAAACAATTATGTGCCCGTTTCAAATTAAAAATAAAAAACTGTCTAGTATGTACAGGGTGTTGCGCTTAAATGTGCTACAAGCCTGTAGCTTTATTTTTTGAGTAATTAAAAAAAATTTTGTTTAGAATGTAGGATAAAAAACCTCTAACTGTAACGCTGGGACGTGTTTTTTTGACGTCAAAACAGCTAATTGGTATTAGCGATTTTTTTTCCAAAAAACGATTACGTATTCTCATTCAGCATCCCTTAAAATGTCTTCCAAGTTTCATCAAATTCGATACATCTTCAGACGAGCACTAGTTGGCCGTGTATTGTATCACAGTTAGATAGAGTTTTTTTTACCCTACATTCCAAAATAAAAATTTTTGAAATCGGCCAAAAAATAAAAAAGTTACACTCTTGTATTACATTTCGCGACATTATGGAGTGCTCGCCTGAAGATGTATCGAATTTGATGAAACTTGGTGGTAAGACCTTTTAAGCGATGCTGAATGAGAATACGTAATCTGTTTTTTGGAAAAAAATCGCTAATACCACTGAACTGTTTTGATGTCAATAAAACACGTCCTAATTGGCCGTAAATTGCATTAACAAAAACAGCAGTTTCACAATTAGATAGTTTTTTTACCCTACATTCCCAAATCAAAATTTTTGGGATCGGCCAAAAAATAAAGAAGTTACAGGCTTGTATTATATTTAAGCGCGACACCCTGTATATTCGTACCTACTACGATGATAACAAATGCACATATTTGAAGACATTAGCCACAGAAGAGTTTCACTTTCGACTTGTGTCCCCTTTACTTATTTATATCCTTTGTTAGATGGCCAACCTTGTATCCAGTGTAATGTAACATATCCTAAACCATTCCTTTGCCTTTGAAAATGTAATGTCTAATGGTGAGAATTACAGTTACACATATCTTGTGCCTAAATGTAACATACTCCATTATAAATTTTAGGCTGGACTTTAACTCCTTTTACACCGGACAAATGGAGAAACTGGGACTGACCAAATTGACCAAGGATTCTTCGGGATGAAATTTTTTTCTTCCGCTTGATATGTGATCAACTTTACTAATTTGAGTTAGATTATTTTTTAACATTGTGATTTTTATTGAATGCATATATTTTTTCATTTTGTAGATGTGTAAATAGGTTAATATTTAATTACTTTTTACTAAAAATTATGAAAAAAATAACTGCGAAATTATAACTATTCGAATATTTTTTCAGACGGTGCTGTATAGAATTCGAAGGTATGATATGATGAAATATAATGAAGGATAGGAGAATAGTTTGCTGAAAAAATTTAAGATACTTATAATATATAAATTGTTTAGATAAACCACTTGTTCATAATTTTTTATGTGCAATGAGCCGACATCTATACAAGCAAAATATTTTTATTAGCTTAATTTGGAATCAGGCTTGATAATTATTAAATTTACGAATATGTAGAATTTTCCTGTGATGTTTTTAATTCGAATTTACGGAAAACAAATGAATTAAACTTTATACTTATTAATTCGCTTGTTACTTACAAGTTGTTTAGAAAATGTATATAACTTGGTTGCTACTGTTGTTGGGATATATCTGTTTCTTTAGAAGAAATTCGGTTTCAGGAAAATTAACATCTTGGAAATAATAAATGCCATATTTCCACTTCCTGCGCCATATTTCCTGTAAAATATTGTTTCCTATGGCTTCTAATTCTCATCTTGAAGAGGACATTGTTGAGCTTTGATTATCCAGTATTAGTCGTTATTAAAAGTGTTTACCGTATATTTTCGTTTATTTACTTCCTTCACCAAATTTTATAAGAAGCCAGGATATCAAGTAAACTTGAAATGGTTTGAAATTGGTGGGGTATTGGTTGCAAGAAATATACAGAAACATTTTTTATCGTTAATTGATGTTTTTTTTCGTGTACTTATCGCGCTTTAAAATATTTATCGGTAATCCATAGAAATGATGCCTAGCAACCCACCTCAGATGTGCTTTTTCTTGAATAGGAAACTGTGGAGAAACTTGGTAAGTAAATTAAAAAAATTTATATTCAAAGAAATGGTACCAGGCACCTGAAATCGTAACAAACGCCCTGTATAGCTTAAAAAAAAACATCTTATTGTTTGTAATTCTATTCTGGCACTTTCGTTTTTCTGAAATACTGATCATATACAGGGTGTTTGTAAATAACTGCGAAGGAGGTGGTTGCCGAAATTATTCTGTGAAGAAAAGTTCATATAAACGTAGGTCGAAATATGCTCGTTTCCGAAAAACAGTGTTTAAATTTTAATTTTTTATTTATTTTTCTTAATTATTTTTAAATATATTGACTCGAAATTTGAAAAACACTTTGGAGGAGTAACTAAATATTTTTTGGAGCGATCCGAATATTTCTACTAGCACGTTTAAATAAAAAGATTAACAAAACCTACAAGAAAATATGTTTTATTTTTTTCCTCAATACGGTGCATCCTATGAAAAAACTAAATTGAAGAAACCAATTTCATTCAGAATTTATGGCGGATTTCTAAAAAATATCGGAACTGGAAAAAGACTGGCATACCATTTTTTTTATTTAAAAAGATTGTGGCATTGTCGCACGAACGCCATTGGTGCAAGTAGAAATATTCGGATCACCCCAAAAAATGCACATTTATCCCTACAAAGCGTTTTCCAAATTTCGAGTCAATATCTTTAAAACTGAAATAATTAAGGAAAATAAATAAAAAATTAAAATTTAAACACTGTATCTCGGAAACGAAGATGACCTACGTTTATATAACCTTTTTTTCACAAAATAACTTCGGCAACCACCCCCTAAAATATTTCGCACTTATTTAGAAACACCCTGTATTATAGGGTGTCCCAAAATTCACGCAAGATTCGAATTTTACACCATTTATGCTGTAAAGAGTTGTCAACGAAGAAAAAAAAAAGACAGCGAGAGAGCCGACAGTTTAAGGTTATTAATAATGATTTTATGTATAATTTTTTTTAAATAAGCTTTTAGTGACGTCATTTTTTCGTATTCTCAGCAAACCCTTTCATTTCATACTCATATCATGGAGGTGCATAAAAAATAACTGGTCCGCCATCTTTGGGAGCCCGCCATATTGAATTTAGAATGACGTCACTTATCTAACCATGGATTGTCATCCAAACTAAACGTGTATCCAAAATTTCAGCTCAATCGGTTGGGGATAACTGTTTCAAAAGTCAGTTGCAAAATATGCCCCATATTAACAAGGCAAGTTAAATAAAAGCTTGTAATGATGGAGCGCTACACGAAAAACAACGCGTTTTCATTGTTGAGCAATATTTTAAGAAATAATGAAGGTTTGGCAGTTACAGTTAGCAATTTTCGTACAAAATATGGTCGGAATAGTGATAACGTCGAAGCAGTTCGTGAGAGTGTTGCTGAGAAGAACATCAATTCTCTACAGCGTATTCTCACGAAATATTTGCATCTTCATGCTTACAAAGTTTACTTGACTCAAGAACTGAAGCCTGCTGACCATGCAGAGCGAAGAGAGTTCGTTATAAATGGATTATTATTATGGAACAAGTGGATAGGTACTGATTTTTCGAACAAAATCGTGTTCATCTTGATGTTTGGGGTTCAGAAAATCCACGAGTGATTGTTGAGAACCTAATGCATCCATACTGTGTCATTGTTTGCTGCAGATTTTGGGCTGGAGGCATCATCGGACCATTCTTCGAAATTGCGGCTGGTCAGGCAATTACAGTTAATGGTTACAGTTATCGCGACATGGTAATCCATGTGGTTTCAATTTTCTGGTAGTGTAATTTCCCGTTTGGTGATCAGAAGGCCGCCCAGATCGTGCGATTTAACGCAATTAGACTTTTTTCTTTAGGTTTTCTTTTGAAGTTTTAAGGTATATGGCATCAAGCCCACGCTCACCCACGCCTTGAAAGAGGAAGTTGAGCGCTGTATCAACGAAATTTAGCCGCATTTATGCACTCATACTACACATACTACAACATTCGACTTCACTCGCGAAAAAAAGCCTCCTTAATAGGAGTCTGACAGCAAAATTTTCAGTAGGGAAGGCAAATATAAGCCATAATAAAAAAACATTTTTTGTTTGATGACACGTTTGTGCGTTGGGTGCAAAATCGTCAAATTTAACACCTAGTGGTGGCCTCTAAAAATCTTGTGTATATCGGTATGTCATCCACATTATTTTTTAGCAAAAAATAAGTCCAGGGTAGTACAAAAGTATGCTTTCGTACTTCCAATTTAATTCGTATTCATATTGTTTATTAGTCTTCTCGATTAGTTAATGAAAATTTCAGTTTTTCTCATCATTAAAACAACTTTTGTAATTGCACCGTTTAAGGCCTATAACCGTAAAACCATTCGTTTAAGAGGTTAGGTTTATTAAAACTTTTGGTCACATTTTTCGATGTACTAACTATTGCCTTGCCACCCAAAGTTTGTAACATATTTTGCGGGACATCCTGTATCGCACTGGTGTCTAAATGGTGTCTAATTATAATAATTTAAAATTTATGATGTGGGCAGTACATATACACTTTTATAGTCATTGAAATATATACGACTTTAATAAATATTATATACAAAATTTTCTTGGTCTGAAAGTTGTTTGTGATATTTTTATTTTAGGTAAGTATAATGTTCAGACATAAACAATATAGAATAATTATATACATTTGTTGATTATACATTTCATATAAAAATAACATTTTATTGGTCATTTTCAACATTAATGTGTCTAATTATATCATCTAATTTTATATTCAATTCAGAAATTTCCTTCCTATCATTACCAGCGTTTTCAGCCAAAATTTTAACGATGTTTTCAATTCTCCGGATTTGATTATCCTCTTTTTTGACTTTCAGGGCTTCTCTTCTTTCTTGAATGATCCTGTTTGTTCTCTTTATAGTCTCCTTATCCAAATATATGTATGCACAAGAGCCTATACAATTTTTCCCGAATATAGACTGTCTCTTTTCTAAATAAATTTGACCATATTTGTTCGGATAAACAGTGAGTTTGTAATCCAAGTAATGTGGAAATAAACAAGCCTTTTTTGCCAACGGTTTGGAGATTCTAAAATTGCAATTCGATGCCTCAGAGAAGCAGCAACAAAAGTCGTTTATTCTCTTGAAAATGTTCTTTGGTAAAATATTGCCTAAGAGCATGCTTTCAACATACCGGATATGTTGAGCTCTAGCGATGTGACCAACTAACTCAGCATTGTTTTTAATCTGTTGGGTGTCACTTACCGCCAAACCATTGAGGAGATTCAACAGTATGATGGCTATCATGAAGATGAATAGGGCGAACATTATTTTGCTCGTAATTGGGAAATGATGAAAATTCAATGAACCTGCGTCGAACTCCCCAGTTAACATCACAATTGTTTTGAACATAGATTTTCCTGGGTCCGTGAAAAAATCTTCTTCTCCATCATCGTTTTCTGTGTTATTTTTGTTGTCTACTTCTGCCTCGGAAAACAGTATATAAAAACTTAGCGCAAAAGCTATTATTAGGAGTGAATACCACATAAGAAATTTGAAGAAATTTAAAGAAACCGTCTCCAACATCACTACGTTAGTGGACAGTTTTGGATGTTGACCAACCATTAGTACCAGTTCAAAAGCTGCTAGAAGTATCGACACCGAAGATAATATTCTTCTAGTGTCATCTACGGGATTACTTACAAATAATATACAACCAGTAAAGAATATGAGTATAATTTCAACATAATTTTCAAAGTTTCTAAAATATTTGTTAGGTGAGACAGTCATTTGGAATAGTTCTCGAAATATGAGTATTATGTAAGTTAGAAAAAATATTCCGTAGGATAAATTCGCAACAAAGTTTTCGAACGAGGAGTTTTCTGTATTACTGAAGTTGGCATACCACACAAATATATACACAACTAAAGATAAGACAAAAGCGATGTAAAACGCGAGATTCGTATAAAATAACCATCGAATACAGTGCCATTTCACGAACAGAAAGCTGACAACCACAGGGTGCTTGAGAAGATACCTAAATTCGGGAGCTTTGCTCATATATGAAATCACTTCAGTTTCAGTTACAAGTTCTCGGGTGACGATGTGGTTTAAGTTTGTTTCAGGATCGCTGTTCTCGAATGCCACATTGTACTCAATTTTCTCACTGGGAGGAATGATCGTGTTGTAGTTAAAGGTTATCGAGAAATCTTCCTTTTCGAATTTTTTCCCTTTCAAATCAAATTGTATGCAACTATCCAAGTGTTTTTCTAGAACTTCCGGTTCAATGTCTTGTATGGGCATCACTCCATATTTATTCTTCGAACCCAAAGACGCACCTAACTGTAAAAGATTTTCAACCTTCTCAGGATCAGAGTATCGAACTGCATAGTGAAGTGGTGAGTTCTTGGATTCATCTGTCTCGTTGATATCAATGAGGTCCCTATGTTTATGCAGTTTCTCCAAGAGGATATCATAACATTTACTGTGGCTAATACCGGGAAGTTCTTCGTTATCTATGTTCTTTAATAGCGTCACTAATACTGATTTAGGAACACGCGTTTTTGGATGGTCCAATAAAATGTCGAAAATCTCGTAGCAGCCATTGTCAGTGGTTATTTCAATCGGAGTCTTTCTGTTCTTGCTCGTCGTTGAATTGGGATCGGCGCCTTTGTTTATAAGATGTTCCGCAGCTCTTTTCAAACGTTTTTCGCAACTAACTTGCAGCAATGTTGAGGAGGTGTTATCAGCATTGACTAAGTCGAAAATATCACCGCCCTTAAAATTCAAAAAGGCATTTTCGTTCTTAGAATGCAGATATTTGAATAAAATGTTTGCGTCGCTATCGTTTTGGTTGTCATTTTTGTCTGGTAATATGCCATCGTAAAGGTTCTTTCTCTGTATGATATCCCTAGCAGTGTCCTTTCTAGATTTATGAGAATCTATGTCAACCGGTATATCGCTTGATTCCAGGATTACTTTTATTATCTCCTTGAACCCCTTCTTGGCAGCCCATAGTATGGGGGAGACATCATCTCCGTCGCCTTGGTTCACGTCGATGCCTTCTCGTACCAATATCTTAGCACATTCAACGAATTGCTCTAGAGAATCGTTTTTTCCGTAGCGAATCAGGATATGGAGTGCATTGCTGCCTTTTGCGAGAATGTTGATATCCCCTGGATTCCTTAAATTCTCCACAACTACCCGCAAAGTCTCGCTTTTGGTGCTGTAAGCTGCAAAATGTAACGCCTGCCATTCTTCGTCTATGTCACTGGAGTAGTAGAGATCGGCGCCTAAATCTATAAGAGTTTTTACCGTTTCCGCTTTAACCCGTTCTTCAGAACAAGCAATTAGGAGAATAGGTTTATTGTATTCAGCTCCGTAAATGTGACTAAGCAAGTTGGGGCTACTTTCAACTATGCGGGTGATATTTCTCACTTCATTTTTCAGCACCGATTTGAGAAGAACCTCTTCGGGTGTAGGGCAGATACTGTTGGTCCTCGCAAAACCTTCTCTTTTACCATTTAGTTGCCTATACATTTCTGCAATCTGAAACAAAGTACTATTTTTAATATTCGAGTAATCTATATTTATTCAGGGAAGCGAATGGACTATATGTTTAATGGGACAAAATAGCTAATATCTTGGAAGTTGTTGGGGATATTCTATTCACATTCTACACATACATAGTTTAAAAAATGGAATGCCCTTACTGAACCCTAAAATTCGTCTAATAGTCCTATGCTGATGTTTTAGATATTGATGAATGAATGACATTGTTATAATTTTGCCTTAATTAATTAAAAACGGTTCTATTGTTTATTTCTAGCTTTTTGGCTATAAAGCATATTTATTTTATAAGCAGGTAATCATCTGATAACCCAACTGTTCTAAAAGGGATAACACCAGCTTTTGTTGAATGTTTCTTTATATTGTCACTGGTGTCACAGCTATCGACTTAAATGGCAATTTATACAAAAGGCATCAATCGATATTTAATTTAGAATATTGTAGGTACCAGGTAATCATAATGATATAATCAATCCTGTTGAAGAGATATACTCGTAAATACAAACACTAGAAACCAACCATTCGCACGCAAATGTAATCTTTAAATATTAAAGCATATACGTATGTAGTTTTGATAATACTACGGTAACATGACATGTAAAATGATTTTTTCCTAACATACAAATAGTTGTATGCATGTTGTATAGATAGAGACGCTCGAATAATTTATGAGAATAAAAATTATTTAATTAGAAACTATATTATTTTTATTCTTTACCCTTTGATTTATTAGAATTGTTTTTATATCAAGTTTAAGCAACGTTATTAATAACAAAAAATATTGTTATAGGCAAAAAAAATTAAGGGAACAAAAAATGTTCAATTTTTTTTAGTGGTTATTTTTGAAAGGTTGTGACTTCGTGAATAATGGTCCTATTGAGAAAAAAAAAGCATCTTGAAGCTTGAAGATTCTAGTTTTGGAAAATCAACGAGTACTTTGCAAATATTGCGAAAAGTATAAATGTTTGTAGTTTTTTTTTAGCTCAATACATGAGGCCTGTAAATTTTGAAGCCGATCGGTCGAACGATTTGCCTTTCCTGAATCGTCAAAGTTTTATAAAAAATTAGATCAGGTTTATGGCTCCTTAAACATCAATTAATGATGATTAAGATGAAAAAATTTGTTTGTGTTATTTTTCTCATAATTTCGCGTTAAATACTCATCAAACATCGAAAAAAAATCAGTTTTCGAAAGTTGTTTGCGTTATTTTTTTCATGGACTGTCTCTTCAAGGGGATTCAGAATTATTAGTATTGTTCCAGTTTAAGCGAAGCCATAACATAGATATAAGTACTTTTCTATTTGTCAAAATGACCATAAATTTTGTACATGAGTAATTTCCATGAGATTAATTTTATTCATTCCTGCATGTCAACCTTAAATAAGCTTTGAATATACGTCACGCAGGATAATTTTTTATTGTGAAATTTTCCAGTAACGCCACTATTTTCTAGTAACGATTATATAATATTTTTCAACATTGACACTGACGAATATTTGTTATGTCGTGACTGAGGATATCTGTGACTCGTCACCAGTCTTATAGCGTCGTTATCGGTGCGGGCCTAGGGGCTCTAATAGTGGCTCTGTCTTCACAGAGTCTAGCCCGAGAACAACAAGGGCAGGTCAAAGATTCCTAGCTACCAATATAACCTTGTACATAGAAAATGGTTTAGGACATGATCATTAATTATTATTTAAAAAAAGTCAACATATTTTTGGTATCCGAACTGGAACACCTTTTATAGATACTATATATCGTAAGAGAATAAACCAGATCGAAGTTGTTATGGTTTTTATACATACAAGTGTGGTACCTATAATGTAAAACATAAGATTCGGCAAGAAAGGCGCACGATAGTCACAGAAAAGTAGTCTCAGCGTAGATCTCGCCTGTTCAGCACGTGAGGATGAAGTGTATATCGTTATTGTCCTGCATTTTATTAATTTTATGCATCTCAGTGTATGCATGGAATTATATTAGATTTATTCACTGAGCATTCCCACATCATAATGAGCCACAGAGACACCCCTGAATATTCAATGTGGCTACTGTCTACCTTCCGCTTGGCGTTTTTATTTCAAGCGAAATCTTGCGGAACGAAATATGTTCCTTGTTAAAATTTATAAAAACTTTATTATCAATTTTTAAATTACAATAATTCCACTAGCAGTGCTGGTCTGGATTATTTATACATATGTGATTAAGAATTGTGACACTGTTAGATAAAAAACGACCCAATGCAGTGAATCATATCCTGGATCACATTAATTTTCTAATTAATATAGTTTTAATATAATAATTTAAGAATAAGGGGATTAAAATGAAATTCAAAGGGGGGGGAGTAGAATGGGATGGATGGAAATATTAGGTATATTAAACAATTAATTCAACAAATATTTGCCTTACTATTATATTTTACTTATATCCAATATAATAATTTCATTTTTCTTATTTCAAATTATTCAATAATAAAATTAACAAAAATCTATTTGGTCGCAATTCTAGAGCTAATTCAATTTCTTACTAAGAACTGGTCAAAATTTTTTAACAAAATCTGTTCAATTTATCAATAGACTTTCGTCTCATGCTATTTGCTGTTTTATTACACCATCAAAACACCTTATTTATATTGCGTTTGTATCCAACTGGGATTTCGTTTATTATTTTATCAAGACTCATTCGTTAATATTTTTATAGCAGCAATTAATGTGGGCATTAATAAATCGGTGGGCTAGAAATGTTAGTAGCAAAGCAACTACTGACTAATGTATACTTTATGGTCCATATACGAAAGCAACAATAAATATTTATTCAAATTGCTCACAAAGATTCAGTGTGGAATAAAATACGTAGGTATAAACAGATATTAAGGATACAATGATTTTTTTAAGATAGTATAGTAATTAAATAACCAAATTTTTGGATTACAATTTTATGATACCATTTGAGGTGAGTCGTCTACGTTTGTCAATTTATGTAAACACATCAAATATACATCTACGTTTGTCTTTAATATATAGGGTGTTATTGAACTTATAACTTATGTCAAAAATTTAAAGGGGTGAAAAAGAAGCAAAAACTGAGTTAACTGATGTCACAAACTTGTTAAATTTATAAACATCTACGTTTGTCAAAGGACCCCGCACTTTTTATACGGAAAAGTGGTTTCAGTCGGGAGGTCTAATTTTTGGTGGAAAAGGTAGTTCTCAACATCATGAACAAAAAAGCTAATGGGCACAAAAAAATCTACCGTCAGGATTTTGCGCTACTGCGCACACAAGGTCGGCACCTGGGTTTTCAGGAGTCGGGTTATTTTTGTCAAAAAAGAGCGTGTTCAGTGACCGATTATGGAGACATGCATGCGTGAAGGTGTGTTGGAGTGATAAAGTACTATATACAGTGTGTATCTTAAGTGATGACTTTAATTTCAAGGGGTGATTTCTTGTCATATTTTAAGCAAAAAAGTGCATATGAACTTCGGTCCGCAAGTGCTTCGTTACCGAGATACAGGGTGTCAAAGACTGATTCGAAATAATTTAATGAAATTTCATACACGGAGGTTTTTTGGAATGATAAATTCAAAGCTGTGGTCAATTTAGGTGTATTTTTTTGAGGGCGCCAATAATGAAGTAGCTAGGAGCAACCGTTTCCATGAAAAACGCATTTAAACTTGCTTGAGTTGGAAATATCATAAAAATTGAATTAAATCAAATGCTCAAAATGAGAACCGCCACTGTCAATACAAGCATGTAATCTTCTGCTCATCGACTGTCGCACACGTTCCAAAATTCCTGGAGTGTTGCGTATGACATTACAAGAATTTACAATTCTGTTTCTTAAATCATTTTCATCTACAACTGGCGTTGCATAAACAAGCGACTTCAGATGTCCCCAAAAGAAATAGTCCAGAGGATTTAGGTCTGGAGATCGTGCTGGCCACGGCTGAGGTCCTCCCCGACCTATCCATCGCTGAGCAAAAGTGTCATTAAGATGTTGGCGAGCAGCAAGACTGAAATGAGCAGGTGCCCCGTCGTGCATAAACCACATGTCATTTCTGGTTGCTAGTAGTACATCTTCTAACAGACCAGGCAATGTTTCAGCTAGAAACTGTCTGTAAGTCTCACCATTCAGTCGAGGAGGAAGAAAATGCGGTCCGATGACATGATCACCAATAACTCCGGCCCACACATTCACCGAAAACTGCTGCTGAAATCCACGTTCTCCAATAACATGGGGATTTTCATAGTTCCAAAAATGATTATTGTGGAAGTTTATGATGGCATCCCGTGAAAAAGTTGCCTCATCTGTGAACAGAATTTTAGACGTAAAGTTGGGATTCTGCGCAGTTTTTTGGAGAAACCATCGACAATAATCTAACCGTGCAGGAAAATCTCTTGGCAACAGTGGTTGCACGCGTTGAATGTGGTACGGATAAAGTAAATTTGTGTGCAAAACCCTCCAAACACTTTGATGACTTATGTTAAACTGTTCAGATAATCTTCGCGTACTACTTGACGGATTAGCTTCCACTTCTTGTAGGATTGCTTCTTCTAGTTGTGGTGTCATTATTGTTCTCGGTCTACCAATACGTTCAGCGTGAGCATTTAAAGATCCAGTTTCGCACAGTCTAGCATGGAGCCTTATGAAAGTTCTTTCTGATGGAAGTGGTCTATTGGGAAATCGTTCCTGGTAAATTCGACGGGCTTGTGCAGCATTTCCATCTGCTAGCCCATAAATGAAATGTATTTGAGCTTGTTCAACGTTATTCATAGTTAACTGCACACTAAAAGATAGTCAACTGACAGTATCTTGTCACTTTTAATGCCAAATATCATCGGAATTTTGTTATCACAGGAATTTTTGTATTCAACAAAAAAACATTTCTTTAAAATCTTTTTTAAGCAGATAAGGTAGGAGAATCGATTATTCTAGTCCAAAATGGCATACAGGGTAGCACAAAAAAGTTGCGATAGATTAAAGAGGCCGAA